CCTAACAATAAGTGCATCAGATAGAAACTTCAAGGCCCACTAGTAACTTGCATCAGAATGGAGTCTTTTTGAATCGCAAGGGGTAACTAACTCGCCTCGATAAAGAGTGTGAAAAAAAAAACGATGCACAGTAACGGAAAGGCCTTACAACTATAAGAAACGTTACAATAATAAAAAAAAAAGGGAAAAAAAAACACAGCATGATGGTAACGCACAGGCACTTGCAACTATAAAAAAACAGGTTGCAAAAAATTCAAAAACGAAAAAAAAAAAACATGATCGTGGATGCAAAAGATCTCACACACCCACAATCCCCCCCCCCCCCACACACAGGCCTGGTGGGCAGGGTCGTCGACCTCCGGCGCAGCGACGCGTCCACCACCGAGGCGGCCGCGACCTGGAAGTACCAAGCCAACTACTGGACGCCCAACCTCTTCGTCATCAGGACCTGCGTGGTGATGGACCTCGAGGACCTGGGAACCGCGGAAAGGAAGGCGACGTCAGAGTGAGTGCGAGGATTGGGACGCGTGCATTTGGCCTTTGAGTTTCGATGTTCATTATTAGGAGAGAATGTTCGAGTCCCGATTCGTTATTCGTGCTGGTTTTGCTTTTTAATTCGCGTTAGAAAATCGCCCTTCTGACTTGAAATTCTCTGTATCCTCAATTACGACTTACGACAGATATTAGAACTTGAATCTGATTACCTCTAAAACATTTTCTAACAATATACCGATGGTGATACAGATAATAATGATAATGATAATGATAGTAATGATTATGAGGATGATAATGATAGTAATGATAATGATCATGATCAGATGATAATTATGATGATAATGATTAATGATGATAAAAAATTATTGCAATGATTATGGTGATGATAAAGATAGTAATAATGATGATGATAATTATAGCAATGATGAAGATAATAAAGACAGTAATGATAATATAACCATGATAATAAAAAAAGCTTTCCCCGCCCCGACAGCTGCATCACAGGGAACGTCACCATCAACGCCACGCGATTCACCCAAGAGAACCTCGAGCCTTATAAGGAGTACCAGGTCAACGTCAGCGCCAGCCTCACCAGCATCGGCTACACGGGGCCCTCCGCCGCCGCCTTCGTCAGGACGCGTGAGTTGAGGGGCGGGTGGGGGGGGGGGGTGATGATGTGGGGGGTGTTTGAAATAGGGGGGTTGGGGGTGAAGAGGAGGTGGCTTTGGGATAAGATGGGGGGGAAACTCGTGGGGGTGAGGTGGGGTGGAATAGGGTGGGTGTGGGAGGGGGGGGGAGGGGAGGGGGGTTGGATAAGATGTGAGGGCAAGAATAAGTCGATTTGAAGGGATGATGTCATGGGAGGGGGGTTGATGTCATGTCATGGGGTATGTTATGGAGGATTGATGTCATGGGGGAGGGGGATGTCCGAGGAGGGGGCAACGAGAGGGCAGATGACATGTATTGATAAATGGGGAAAAAGGGTGAATATGAAAAAAAAGTATTAGAGAGAACGCCGCAATGCGAAAAAGAGGAAAATTAAAAACTAATTCAGATAAAAAGCATCAGCAGGAATGATGTGAAAAAGCCACTTTTCTTTCTCTTCTCTCTCTTCTTTTACGTCATCAACTTCATCTCCCTTTCTTCATCAGCTACTTCGTATTTTCTTCTTTTCTTCATCACCTACATCCATTCTTCTTCCTCCCCTCTCTTCATCATCTTCATGTATTTTCTTCGCCTCCTTTCTTCATCACCGACATCCTATTTCCTCATCACTTCATCACCTACGAGTACTTCGTATTTTCTTATTCTCTTCTTCATCAACTACGTATTTTCTCCATCTCCTCCTTTCCTTCACCACCAACTTCGTATTTCCTTCATCTCCTTCTTCCTATTTCCTCCATCTCCTCCTTCCTATTTTCTCCATCCCCTTCTTCGTATTTACTTCATCTCCTTCTTCGTATTTCCTCTATCTCCTTCTTCCTATTTCCTCCATCTCCTCCTTCCTATTTTCTCCATCCCCTTCTTCGTATTTCCTCCATCTCCTTTTTCGTATTTCCTTCATCTCCTTTCTATTTCCTTCATCTCCTTTCTATTTCCTTCATCTCCTTCATCATATTTCCTCCATCTCATTCTTCCTATTTTCTCCATCTCCTTCATATTTCCTCCATCTCCTTCTTCTTATTTCCTCCATCTCATTCTTCCTATTTCCTCCATCTCCTTTTTCGTATTTCCTCCATCTCCTTCTTCCTTCCAGATCCGGAAACCCCAGTGATGGTGCAGGTTCTTCCCTCGGGTCACCTGCGGGTCGTGTGGGCTCAGAAGGTGAGTGGAATTCATGCTGAACAAATTGGAACAAATTGGAACAGGAGCAACGAGGGAAAGAAGGAGGAGATACACGAATGAACAATAGTAAACTGCCTAATCAAAAAGTAAATGGATACAAAGTTAAAAGACGAAAAATAAAAGGTATAACAGGAATGATTACACTTACACAGAGATAGATAGAAACGTAAATACGAACACGAACATAAACACACACACACACACACACACAAACAACACACACACACACACACACCACACACACACCACACACACACACACACACACACACACACACCCACCACAACACACACACACACCCCACACACAACACACACAACACCACACACACACACACCCCACACAAAACACACACACACACACACACACACCACACACAAAACACACACACACACACACCCACAAACACCCACACCCACAACACCCACACCCACACACACACACACAAACACCCACACACAAACACCCACACACAACACAAAACAACAAACAACACAAAACAAAACACAAACAAAACACAAAAAAAAAAACACCCACAAACCACAAGCAACCAAAACCCTCTCACTCACTTCACCACCCCTCGTGCCCCCCCCCCCCCCCTCCTCTCCCCCCAAGGTCGCTGAGTTCGCTGAAGACGACAACGTAGTGATGAAGGTGACCGACGGCGACGGCGCGGAGAAGCAGCAGACGATCCAGGCGAGGGGCGTGCTCCTGGACGGCCTCAAGCTGGGCGCGACCTACAGCGTCAGTCTGGAGGAGTTGGGCGGGAAGAGGAGGAAGGAGGCAGCGTCCGTGCAAGCTTGTGAGTTCTTTACAGGGGGTGGCGGGGAGAGAGAGAGGAGTGAGGAAGGAGGAGGAAAGAGGGAAGGAGGAGGATAGAGGAAGGAAGAGGAAAGAGGGGGAAAGAGGGAAGAGGGAAGAGGGAGGAGGAGGATAGAGGAATGAGGAGGAAAGAGGGATGGAAGAGGGGGAAAGAGGAAGGAAGAGGGAGGAGGAGGAGGAGTGAGGAAGGAAGAGAAAAGAGAGAAGAGCAGGGTTGAGGATTGAGGAAGGTGGAGGAAAGAAGGGAAGGAGGAGGAAAGAGAAAGGGAGGAGGAGGATAGAGGAGGAGGAGGAAAGAGGGAAAGGAGGAGATTGAGGATTGAGGAAGGTAGAGGAAAGAGAGAGGGAGGAGGAGAAAGAGAGAAGAGGAGGGTTGAGGATTGAGGAAGGTGGAGTAAGAGGGAAGAGGGAGGGGATTGAGAAAGGAAGGATTGAAGGAAGAGGGGAGAGGGGGAAAGAGGAAGAGGGAAGAGGAGGTTTGAGATTGAGGAGGAAGGAAGAAGAAAGAGGAAGGAGGAGGAAAGAGGGAAGAGGGGAAATGAGGAAAGAGGGAAGAAGGGAGATTGAAAAAAGAGAAAGGAGGAGGGAGAAGAAGGAATAGCCGGAGAGAGGGAATGGGAGGAGGTTGGAGGATGGGAGGAAGAAAAGGAAGATTGCAAAGGAAAAAGAAGACAAAGAGATGGTGGACAGGAGAAAGGAGGAGGAAAAAGAGGGGAAGGACAGGAGAAAAAGGTAAGGAAGGGAGATGAGGAGACAGGAGGAAGAGGGAGAAAGAGAGAAGGGGCGTAGTGGGGAATTGAGGAGGAGGGGGAAGAAGAGAAGAAAAACAAAAAAAAGAGGAAAGTGGGTGAGCATAGAGAAGGGGAAGAAGAGAAAACAGAAAAAAAGAGGAAAATGGATGAGCATAGAGATGGGGAAGAAGGAGGAAAAGGGAGAAAAATAGGACGGGTAGAAAAAGAAAAGCGGGAATGGAAAAGAGGAAGAAAGGAGGAAGATACCCGACTCTCAGACAGGTCTCACTAACATGAAAAAAATAATTTGAAATCAGGTATGAACATATAAATATGCATACATTTATCCCTGAAGAATGAATGGAAAAAAAACACTCTACCGTGTTGATACTATGGTATAAAAAACCCACAATGCACAAACTAGATTTATTGAGATAAGTCTCACTTATTTCAATGAATCTAGTTTGTGCATTGTGGGTTTTTCATTTTTTTTCTATCATATTTATCCCTATATTATTATGCACCAAATCTACCCAACGGCTAAAACTTCCCAAGCAAGACCGCCCACTCACCCCCTCCCTCTGTCCCCCCCGCAGACCCCCGTGAACCCACCATCCCCCCCTTCCCCCTCCCCGCAGACCCCCCCCCCCCCGTGAACTCCCACTTCACCCTCCCCCTACGCCCCGCAGACCCCCACCCCCACTCACCCCTCCCCCTGTCCCGCCCCGCAGACACCACCCCTCCCCCCCCCCCCCCCGTGAACCCCCACTCACCCTCCCTCCGCCCGCAGACCCCCCGTAACCCCCACTCACCCCCCCCCCTCCCCGTCTGTCCCGCCCGCAGACCCCCACCCTCCCCCCGTGAACCCCGACTCACCCCCCCTCTGTCCGCCCACAGACCACCCCCCTTCCCCCCGTGAACCCCCACTCACCCCCCCCTCCGCCCCGCAGACCCCCCGTGCGAGTGCGGCGACGAGTGCCACCTCCGGGGCTGGTGCTTCGAGCCGTCTCCCGCGAAGGTCAACTCCATTACGGCGATCCGCGAGTGCCAGGACGAGGAGACGAGCCTCGCGACGGTCTCCAGCTCGGAGCAGGTCGACCTCCTCCTCAAGCTGGCGGACAAGGTTGGCGACGACTTGTGGGTGTCGGAGAGGTCGGAGAGGCTGTCGGGTGAGTTGCCCAGCGGCGCCGGAGGTCGTCCTCCTCTCGAGTTTTAGCTTGGAGAATCGCTGTGATTCGTTAGGTCTTTAGACATTTATTCACCTAGTTTTTCTAATTTCATCATATTTTCACCTACTCGTATTCATAATTCATTAGTTCTCTGGATATTCATTCACCTACTTGTTTTTTCTACTTTCATCACATAATTCATAATTCGTTAGTTCTTTTGATATTCATTCACCTACTAGCTGTTTTTTTCCTCTCATCTCATCATAAAAAAGAAAAAAAACTAAAGATTTCAAACTCATAACCAAACCCACCCCTTCCCTTTCCACCTTCCTGCCTGCCGCAGCGTCGCGAGATACCCTCAGACTCTTAGCGGAGGGCGACTCAGAGATCCTCGACGACGAAACCGCCGCCGAGGAGTCGACCACCGCCATCCCGATGCCCTCCCAGTGCCTCGTCGTCTCGCGGGCGGAGAGGGCCGTCGTGGACGAGCCGTGCGCCAACATCCACACCGCCGCTTGTGGTCGGAAGGTTCCAGGTGCGGGGCTTTTTCTTTTCTTTCTCATTTTTTGGGTGTTTTCTTTCTTTCGTTAGTTTGTTTTATATGTAAGGCATGGGGGAGGGAGGGAGAGAGGGAAAGAGTGAGAGAGAGAGAGAGAGAGAAAGAGAGAGAGAGAGAGAGAAAGAGAGAGAGAAAGAAAAAAGAAAGAAACAAAAGAAAAAAAGAAAGAAAAAAAAGAAAAAGAGCAAGAGAAAGAAAAGGGGGACGCAGCCACTCATACAGACACGCCCTAACTCCACTCCCCCGCCCATTCCTCGCAGTGGCCAAAGCCTTCCCGCCCACGAGCAGCATGAAGATCGACGTCGGAGCCAGCTGGATCTCTCTGGACTGGAGCAACACGGACTGGGTTTGGAAAGCCACGTACACAGTTTATTACCAGAGGACACGTGAGCGGCGTTACAAGAGGGCCCTCAAGTCGATGGATTTCAAGGCTCCTCCAGGTACTGTTGTATATTATTATCATCGATTCTTTTCCGCATTTCCCTAAACAAGACAATGTATATCAAACCCAAATACTCCAAAACGTAAATCGAGACACCCTTATGGAGACCAGTAAAAAAAAAATCCTGCCAAATTCGAAGATACATTCAAACCTAGATCAATAAAACCTCCCTTTTCCCTGCAAAATTCGAAGATACATCCAAACCGTAAATCGAAACACCTTATTAAAAAGACCAGTAAGACCCTTCTCTTTTATTCCCCCGCAGTTCTCATCAGCAACCTTCAGAGGGACACTTCTTACACGTTAGAGCTCGTGGCTGACCTCGATAACGGGTTCCTGTCGTCGTCTAACGAGTTCGAAGCCTCCACTTCCAACTCCACTGACAGGGCGTATCCAGATAGGGTATGGGATCTCTTTTCCGTTTGGTTTTCGACTCTCTGTCTGTCTCATGTATTTCTTTCGTCGTTTTATTTCTGTCTTTCGGTCCCTTTTCTTTCGTCTTTTTTAGTGGCTTCTCTCCTCTGCCTCTTTATTTTCTATTTCTTTATTTCTCTTCTTTCCATCTTCTTCATCTCTTTCATTTCTCTCTATTTCTCTTCTTTCCATCTTCTTCATTTCTTTCATTTCTTTCATCTCTCTCTCTCTCTCTCTCTCTCTCTCTCCTCTCTCTCTCTCTCTCTCTCTCTCTCTCTCTCTCTCTCTCTCTCTCTCATCTCTCTCTCTCCTCTCTCCTCTCTCTTCCTTCCTCTCTCTCTCTCCTCTCTCTCCCCCTCTCGTCTCTCTCCCTCTCCTCTCTCCTCTCTCCCCCTCTCCCTCTCCTCTCCCTCTCCTCCTCTCTCCCTCTCTCTCTCCTTCCTCTCTCTCTCCCCCGCCTCTCCCTCTCCTCTCCTTCCTCCTTCCCTCTCTCTCTTCTCCCCTTCCTCCTTTCCCATCTCTCCCTCCTTTCGTCTCCCTCTCGCTCTTTCTCGCTATACCTCCTTATGCAATTCATTATTAACGCACAAAGAATGCCGTAAATATACCGACGACCTTCCATTACAAAACATATAATTGACGTTGTGCCTTTTTTCGCAGCTAAAAGTGGGTTGGGCGCCATCTTGGGACTACCAGATTCTACAGCTCGTAAGCGCGGCCATTTTGGTTGCTTCCTGCATTACTACGATGCTCCTTTTCTTCGCCACTGGGTGAGGTGCTACTTAGGCTGTTTGTTATAACATGGACGCAAGTAATATGATTATATGTTCGTGGAGACAAAGAAACGCACGCAAATCGCATGCGTACTCGCTCACGCACACACGCATACACATACACATATACAGACACATACACATTCACTTTTACATTCACATTCACATTCACATTCACATTCGCATACACATACACATGCCCATACACGCGCACATACACATTCACATACACATACACAGTCACATCCAC